TTCAGTTTAAATGAAACCAACCAGAAGAATTTCAATAAACTGCTTTCCAACAAATAAAAAAGCTCAAAAACTGTCAGCAGAAATCTTTAGCTGAATGAAAATTTTATAAGATCTATAACAGATATCCTTAATGCAGGACAAGAACGAAAAGACAATACACTTTAACAACGAAGCAATAAGCGCAATGTGAATTAACAATAAAAAACAGTTTGAAGTTCTGTCCACTTTAAAAAATCCCATCCTACACCTGAATAACACAATTTTCATTTAAAAAATTTGTAAAAAAAGTTTCATACATAATCATAAGTGAGCTTTCCAAGATTTAATTTTTTTAGTACGTGATGCATAATACAGGTAGCGAACGCCTTAGTTCGAGTTCCTAAACAACTGCTAATGGTGGCACCGTTCAGACACGAAGAATCAATAAACATATGCTGGCCTAAAGATTAAACGTCATATTCATTTACTGAAGCACCATGTCTGGCAGGGTATCGCATTATAAAACTGAAATATTTTTTGTATTTCACGTTGTATTACTTTTAAACCATTTTCCCTGCCTACAAATGTCACAGCCTTCTTTTTGTAACTTTACTTAAGAAAGCCAATTGGCTCTTAAATAAAGTTTAAAAAAAGACAGAAGGTAAAAACGAAACTTTTAAGTCATCTGAAACTAAAGTTGAAAAAAGCTAGTTTATTAATCTGAACTGTTTAATGAAGATGAGAAAATGGTGTCACGAGAGTGAGAAGTCACCCCGAGTTAAAATTGAAAATTCTGATGCAAAATTACCTCTGCAAGATGTAATTTCGAACTATGAAAAATAATCTCTTATTTCACTGAAAACCAAAGAACTTGAACACCTGAAGGAGCCGAAAGAAAAATCAAACCACAGTATGAGGTGAAGCAAATACAAGTCTCAAAATAAATTACAAAAAAAACTCGGCCCAATACCCAAAAATTTTTGAGGCTGAATGCCTTTAATCCAAACGTCATTGTTGATCTGAATCTGAAGCATAAAATAAAATAAACGTCTCGATAAAATCAATGGAAACTCATTTGGTACATTAGACCAGTAAACCAAATTCTTCAAGACTGGGAAATGCAGAAAATACAGTAAAAAAAAAAAAA